TTTTCTTAATTGTTTAGTTTGGTATATGGATATTGGGATATTAAGTGAGAAAGAAATTAGATGTCAGTATAATGATCGTTCACAGTCACCTCAAAATTTGGTTCTTTAGAGGTAAGAAGAAGTTACTGGTGTTTAAAGGGTCTGTATTAATGTTCCCTCTGGTCAAACATTGATCAATCAGTAAGATTCTAGGAAAAACCCTGTTTTAAGTTGCAAATACTTGAGACTGATGCAGGTGTTTGTTTTTTGACCACCCTACACATACCAACAAATGGCCCTTTTAAAAGTCTAGATTTAAATCCAAAGGGAAAAGTTCAAATACTGTAGTTCAGGCATCCCCAAACTCGGTCCTCAAGGCCCCCTGTCCTGCAGGTTTAGAGGTTTTCTTGCTCCAGCACAGCTGATTTTAATTGAAAGCTGATTAACAGGCTTTTGGTCTAGTGTAATCATTATAACCAGCTGTGCTGAAGCAGTGAAACCTCTAAAACCTGCAGGACAGGGGGCCTTGAGGACCGAGTTTGGGGATGCCTGCTGTAGTTTATGCACACTTCCATCCAGTCTAACCTTTAGTTTTCTTACAAAGCAGATTCTGCAAAGAACTCAGTCACTGCATGTACACAGCTGGAAACACAACTAGTTGGGTATTGAACTGAGAGCTAGTTCAATGCATAACCAACTGAGTGGGCTGAATTAAAATGCAAAGTATTCTTGTTGATTTTAATTCAAAATTGCGTCAAACTTTCACTTACTATCTTTGCACTACATTGTATTGTGCTTTTACAATAAAAAACAGTTTTAACACTTCCTCCAAATACTTACTCCCTCATCATCATCTTCACTCTTCATTTTGTCAGCAATGTAGCGAACACCATCCACTGCTTCTTCCATATCAATATTGCTCTTGAGTGTCATCCTCCTCCTAATGTCTGTGTTCTCTGATAAGTCACTACTTCGCCAGCCGTAGCGTTTGGCTGACCCTTCGTTAACAAAGAAAGATGAGGACGAATCGGCCACTCCCACCCCCTGTCCTGTCCCACCCTCTGCTCCACATGGGATCTGGTCTGAGGACTTCTGTCTCTGGTATTTTTTCCTGAACCTCTCGCGGATATTGGAGTTCCCTGGTCTCCTCATGAAGAGAAAAGAAGGAAGCCGGTGCAGAAAAACCCGTTTGACCCAAGGTGGCATGGTGTGTGTGCTCGGGGAGCGGTGGTGGACATTGAGCACGCAAACACTTGTGACAATAGAGAAGGTGACCAGCACCATTGTAAACATGAGGTACTTCCCAATCAGAGGCACTGCTAAAGATGTTGGTGGCACAATTTTTGAAATAAGAAGTAAAAACACAGTCAGGGCCAGGAGTACGGAGATGCAAAGAGTCATCTTTTCACCACAGTCTGATGGAAGGTAAAACACCAGGATAGCCAAGGAGGTGATGAGGATGCAGGGGATGATCAGGTTGATGGTGTAGAACAGAGGTTTCCTCTTGATGATGAAATCATAGGTGATGTCCAGGTACCTGATATCATTTGGGTCTTCATTCTTGCGTCCTGGTAGGGAAACAATATCCCACTCACCACTGGGTTTGAAGTCATCCCGTGAGGCATAATCACTGAGGAGGATGAGATCTATCTCTGTGTGGTCATACGTCCAGGAACGAAACTTGAGGGTGCAGTTCTGCTGGTCAAAAGGGAAATCCCGCACTTCAATTTTACAGGCAGATTTGTAGATGGCAGGTGGGAGCCAGTCAACATCTCCGTTGTTGGAAACTAAAGCATTGGAGTAGAAGGAAACTTCATATGTTCCATCAGCACTGAAGGAAACAAGGAGATCGAAAGGAGAAAGTCAAATCCTGCCTTTTCTATTGTTGCATCTTACAAACTTTTACTAATGTTTAAAATAAGATTTGGTTTATTTCTGACAGAGAATGGCACAGACATGTCCCCAAAACAACATGACAATATAAAAAGAGTAATTTTGGGGGTAACAAAAAAAAAAAAATCATCATATAAGTGTTACCACATAATGTCTTTCTTATTAGACAAGTTCATAAGAAGGTACTGCATCGGGAGCATTAAATAACAATGGGAACACTCAGAGGAGATGGATTTTGATCACTGGAAGAAAATAACTTGTCTTGTATGTTATTTATAAATGCGTTATCTATCAAAAGCTTACAAGACAAATGCAAGATGAAACCGTTCATGACAAAGCTTATTTCCATGACAATAAGACGGTGATGAAATGAACATGGCTGTGATGAAAGATTTCACTGTCACATTTCTGTTATTTTGTCAACTTTCTTCACATTTGGTGCTCCTATATGTTAAATTGAAATATATATCTTAAATGCCTACTCTTCTTACTGTTGTTCCCATGTGTTAGGGGTGTGTCGTAGTTAAAGGTATAGAGCACAATCTTTTATTTCCAACAAAATATGCCAGGGAGATACACATGCAGGGAGCCAAGATACTTAAAAACTACAAGAAACCAGCAAAGAGGAACTGCAAAGGTAGTGTATATATGAGGAACAGAACAAAGGGTGGGCTAATGGGCTGATATGGAGCAGGTGTGAATAGAACAAACCAAAAGGGAGCCAAGGGGAAAGGAAACAAGCACAAGGGGGCAACAGAGTGTAACTCACACACAAAACTGCCAGAAAACAACTACAAAGACAGAGAATTACTAAGAAACTTAAAACAGACTTAAACAGGGGGCAGAACCCTGAAACATATATTCTAGACTGACAGTCTAAGTTGGTCCTTCTGCTATTCAAATAGTCATTTTATTCAAATGGAAAGCAGTCACACACACACACACACACA